AGGGAGCTCCAAGTTGCAACAAGCCTCCATACACCTGATAGCCTCAGAAGAAGGGAGGACCTCCTGGTCCTTTCCACCTCTGTCCCATCTGCTTGACAATTCTGCTCAGCTCCTTGGGTTCCTTTTCAGTTTTTCTTATTCCTGAGTTTGAAAATCTGTAAACAATCCCAGAATGTCACAAACAGATAAGGCCCACAGTCTGTGCGGATTCGTGGAAGGGCAGTATCAGCCAAAATATACAAGCAGGCAGAAGAAATGACACTTGCTCAGTTCTGTATCAAACCTCCCGGAGGGAGTACTCAATGTACTGACTGAGCAAACAGCAAGGATCGGAGCCAGACATCCTCCTCTTCTGTGACAGGGCTCCTGTCTGAAGCATGGTCTGCCATAAATGTTTTGAATCACGCGGATGAAACTTCACCTGATGCCCTTCACAGCAGGTGTCTGTTCTCCACACATCTTTGCACTGTTACAAGTGCCCATCCCCTGTTTGAGCTGCTCAGTGTTTCTGCTCTCTATCCACAGTACGGTCCTGGGTTCTCCCACAGGCTCTAGGATGCCAGGGCTATACAAATATGCAATCATACGTATAAATAAGTAATAATATCACCTCCCTCATGTTAAAGAGGGAAAGAAATCTACCTAGGAAAGTGAGGCAGCGGACTGAGAGGCCTACCTTTCTCAGCAAAGCTGTAGGGTGTCCGTTTGTAGTGGCTACTGCCATCAGACAGTTTACCGAGAGCAGGGATGGTGCTACTGTCCGTAAGCCGTCGGCGTGCAGAGCAGCGTGTTCGCTAGAACTTCCAGGGTCTGTAGATATACCTGGCAATGTGTGGACCTGCACCAGCTGTGAAGAAAAGCAGCACGAGGCACAAGCCCCAGATTCGTCGTGGGAGGAGGGGCCCTCGATACCCTGAGCCTTTCGTAACCCTAGTTCGGATCAAAACAAGACCCGTATTTCCGTCACAGCCTTGTCTATCTTCAAGTCAGGCCACACTTCTCTCAGTTTTCATTATTTCTGCTGCTTGCACTTTAGCTGCATCCCTTTATTCTGGAGTGAGATCACAGAATCATAGAACGTTAGGGGTTGGAAGGGACCGTTGTTAAGCTGTGAGTTGCATGCTACTCAGGAGGCAGGTGCTGGTGACCCACCTGTGCAGGGAGCCTGGCGTGCCCTCTGCTTTGTGCCAGCGGCCCCGGGGGACCCTCAGTGTGCCCATGGCTCTGTCTGGCAGACCCTGCGCTTCGTGGGCTATCACGCAGCCTCCCTTTAGCATGCAGCTCGTGACACAGGGAGGAGTCTGGGATTTTGGCCAACATCTGCAAAGGCTGTGTATGATTTTGTCAACAGGGACATTTCCTAGGAACAGCTTGCAGCTGAAGAGCCTAGAGAAGGATCCCCGTGTTGGAAAGGCCAGGGGGCTCTGAGACTGTGCTTAGATGTCTGGGCAATGAGCACCAGCAGTAGATGCTGCCTGGAGCCGGGCGGATTTTGCAGAATTACCTCACTGTCCTGCACAGAAAGGCAACTGCAGAGCGATAAACACACACCGCAGTTGTTTGTAAAGCAGTGGTAGCTCTGTGGTGCACAGAAACAAGCCTGGATTTCTCCCAGCTGCACGCCGTCGCTGTGTGTGTGACTGCAATGTTGGTGGGTGCACCTGCTCCTCCTGGAGGGGTCTGGTTCTTGCCAGGTATTCGCAGCTGAAGTGGACAACCCTGCGCCTCTGCCCTCCCGCCGTCACACCGGCTGTCACGGGAGCAGTTTCAGAATAGGACATCAAGTTTCTGCAGAGGCACCTTGAGTGGTTTTGTCGTTTCCGCCATGACCTCCTGAAGGAAGGTCGGAAATGGGAACGAGATGTGAGGGACCAAAGATGGCAGGAGCTGTCTGGATGGTGATCACGGGGCAGAGTGTGGATAATACAGCACCAGAAGAGCCTTCTGGAGAGGGAGGGTTCTCTGCGATGGGACTGCAGGGCGACAGGCAGCGTCTTCATGAAAGGGAAATTCTGCTTAGAGAATGGGAGAAATCTCTTGCTTTGAACATCCTGCCCAGAACTTGGGTGTCCACAGTCCCCAGCCTAGGTCTGTCAGGCAGGTGCTCAGGGGAGGAAGATGAGGAGAAGGCTGAGGAGAGGGAGGAAGGAAGAAGGACATACATGACTCTCAGTGTCACTAGAGTCACTAGAGGGGAAGAAGGAAGAAAACCCTGAGGGAAGTAGGAGTGAAGCACTGACTGGAACCAGACAGGACCTCCACTGGTACACTGGTATTTTCCAGGTATGGTGTTGCTGGTCCTTATGCAAATGCTTTCCTGCTCTTGTTTTTTCAGTTTGTGAACAGCATGCACTGCTTGAAGGAGTAGTGGGCTGTGTGGCAGCAACAGGGATGGCCCTGACCCACTGCATCTGCTACACAGGACACCCTGCTCAGACCTCACACAACTTGCAGAAGATGTCACGGGATGCAGGGCATTGTCCCTCAGAGGCCCATAAGCTCTGTTCTGCAGGAGAGCAAGGCCCAGCTGAAATCTCCATCTGGATTTTGGCTGGAGGTCAGTTCTAAAGACCTGCACAGGTCATGTACTGTGGTGCAGGTGGATACCCTGCAATAGCCACATTCTCAGTGAGGAGAGCCTGCTCCCCAGCTGTAGGGAGAAATGCCAGAGCTCTGAAAAACACCAGCAAAACCTACTCAGCTGGGGAAGCTCTACATGGTGACTGTGAGTCATCACCTAACATTTATTTGTCTCCTGGTACCAGAAAATCTCTCTTCTGTAAGCTACATATGACTTAGATCTCATCCAACATCCTCCCACAGTTGGGAAATCCAGGCCAGCCAAACAGGCTTCGTGGGGACTGGCAGTGTGGACCAGACAGGGACAAAAGGTCTGGGAGACAGCTTTGTTGGTGACCAAGCTGACCACAGCCTTGCCCAGCATGAAGCAAGTACCCAGCAGGCACAAGGGACCGGAGCAAGCAGGCTCCATGGGCAAGAACGGCCCCTGGAGCAGCGGAGGAGGTGGGGGTCCAGCACCGGTTACCTTGTGAGGCTCTTTTGTAACCCCTTGTGCCCCAGGCTGATTCGTCCAGGTCTGGAGCTGGCACTCTTCATAACCTCGCAGGCTTCTCTAAGGAGAATCTGGGTCCGTCGGCAAGTCAAGACCCGCTGGAGCCAAGGCCATGGGGCCGGCTACTTTTCCAGCGTGTGTGTTCTTCAGCAAACCTCGCCCGCTGCCTCGCTTTGCCAGGGCATTGCGTCTAACATGCCTTGATGTTATGTCAGCCAGAGGCTCCCTCTTGCACAAACACGATGCTCAAATGGCAGGTTTCCTTCTGTTTCTGCTACCATCAGTCTTCGGACTTATTGTCCTGGGAAATACGTATCTTTTATGATACATAGAGCTTGAGCCTTGGCACAATGCCTCAAGCAACCTGGGATGGGGGAGGGAGAGCATTGTGGGGGCAAATGTGCTCTAGGAAGGATTTTCACGGTAACAGAAGTGCTGCCAGGAACTTTTCTGTCTTGTGCAATAGGCATCAGCATGCAAAAAGAGCTGCTGCCACAGAAAACAGAACCAGCTGTGGAGTATGTTGTAGGAAGGACTAAAAGTGCATTTTCTGTTTAACCAGCTAAATTCATGGCAGACTCAAAGTGGGGCTAAGAATTGCATAAACCCCCAAACTTCTGCTGAGTTATATTCCCTTCTCTTTCCTTTTCCATAAAGAGATGTAACTTTTAAGGTAAGTGATAAATGCTACTAACTTTGGCTAGAGAACACTGTTCTGAGTCACATCCTAAACACCACCAGCCACGGCAACTTGAAACAAATTAAAAAAAAAAATAAATTTAAGAAACCCATGCTTACAAGGCTTCGGTGGAAGTAAACATGAAACCCAATTCTTACCATACAGTTCAGCTTTTTATTCTCAAAAACAGATTACAGTCTAGTTACAGTACTTCATAGAATCATATAGTGGTTGTCCCTTTCTTTTGCTTAATTGAATTTATTCTTGTCCTATCTCTTCCTTCATCCCATACTCTTAACCTCCCCCAAACCCCTTCCTTAATTAGCGCTTTCACAGTATAAAAGCTTAAGCAGTGCTTTAGGGAATCTCTACAAACAGCCCGTGAATTATTTTATCAAATCTCTTGCACGGTAGTTTTCAGTTCTTCATGAGGTCAGTCAGCTTTCTGACGCGGAGCTGCATGAGGCATTTTCTGGACTAAGCACAAGGGACATCATTAACCGATGACTGCTGTGATGAAATCCCATTCAAACAGGTGGTGGGTGGGCCAAAACTACGGGGTTTTTTTAAACAGCATTTTTGGAGAGCTGAATTTTCCACAAGAGCAGATAGTGATAATGCTATTGCATTTTACATTATCTCAGAATAACTGGAACAGTGACAAAAAGGCTCTTGCCTGTGGGACAAGTGAAGGGAGATATTTCTGGCTGCGGGAAAAAGCACAATCTGAGGATGCCGGGGAGAGTAAAGACTGCTTGATGGTAAAGAAAGAGTCAGCAGGAGGGAGCAGCATGTGAGAGGTTACCTGCAACTCCTTCTCCCGCCAGAACAGGCATTAACCTAACTCCTAAGTAAATGACACAGAGATTTCCACAATTGTTTTTGTCTGGATCCAGGTACATCTTGTGTTGTCCTAATAACAACTGTATTTACAAAAGCTCTGCCTGTTTACTGTATTATTAGGGTCTTCCCAACAGTTATCTCAGAGCCGAGATACCGCGGTGCCACCGCTGCTCCAGCACTACCTCCTCCGAGCGCTCGGGGTATGGTTTGTGCCTGCAGCCACGGGGAAGGCCAGGACTCCACTCAATTTGCAAACCAACAAGACAAACCCAGTGTCTTACGACCCAAAGCAGCAGATAAACATCTACCACTTGGATTACCAGGACTGTAAATTAGCATCCCTCACCTCCTGCTTTTCATCTAGTTTGAAAACAACATTGTTCGTGTGACTGCAACAGGCAAGACTCTCATACCAATTTTTATTATTATAAATACTGTTAGAACAGAAAGGTTAGCACTGCGCATCCACTCCGTTCTGCTGCTATTTTGCATCTTCTTTCTTGGCTCCTGCTTCTATTTTCAGGGGTTCTGGAGCTGCACGATAGGCTGGAAACGCCTCCCAAGGACTATTCAGATCAAACTTGCGAAATTCCTGAGATAGCTCCACGGGTTCCGCCACGACCCGTTTCACTTCGTCATCATACCGCACCTAGAACAACGCAAAGGACACTTTCATACAGTCCCCGTAGCATCTCTGCTATCAGGTGGACACAGCAGTGACCCAGAGCCACCTCTGCTTACAGGCAGCCCCACTTCTTACAGCACGGACAAGCCACAGGCCTCTGGCACAGCTTCAGTTCTCCCTGTTACACAAAAGCCCTCCAGGTGCCACCAAGACCTCCAGACTTTCGAGAAAAACCCTCCTCTTTGCCACCATGTACCTCAGGTGTCCTGCCTTATTGAATGCCCAGCCTACAGTCCACACAAGGGCCACATGGACTAACACATTTACTGTGTCAGATGACAGAGGAACTTCCCCCGAGTCACTGAAATGAGGTGGCCTGTCCACCCGGCAGAGCTGGGGACTACTCTTGTGAATCTTTGCAATATGCCAGTTTGTTTTAGTTGTGCTTCTTAGTACAACACTCAGAACAAGGGACAAAAAGACAAGCGGGGTGAAACGCAGGTGAGCACCAGACACTTCTGACTTAATCCTCCTGCTTAATCCTCGCTGTGCCAGTCCAGATCTCCAAACCAAAGCTCAGGAGATGCTGCCTGGTCTTCACTTGCAGGATTTGCTCCTATTTCTATTTTTCTCGGTATACAGCACATGAAATTTGCTAAATGTCTCTGGCCTTAGGCTGTCTTATTACAGATGAGACTTTGTGATGACTTCGAATTTCCATGCAGGAGATCTATACACCTCCTCTGGAATACAGGCAAGAATCTGATACCAACTTTTATTATTATAAATACTGTTAGAACAGAAAGGTTAGCACTGCGCATCCACTCTGTTCTGGTGCTATTCTGCATCTTCTTTCTTGTCTTTTCAACAAAGGATTGTAAAGCAGTCACTTCTCTGTACTGAAACTCAGGTAAGAGCGTTGGAGAGATCTGATGACTTTAGACATGAGCATATGTCCTACCTCCACGTAACCAGAGAGCGGAAAGTCCTTTCGGAAGGGATGGCCCTCAAACCCATAGTCCGTGAGGATTCGCCTTAGATCGGGGTGGTTGGCAAAGAAAACACCAAACATGTCCCAAACCTAAATGGAAGGGAGCCAGGTAAGCTGAATTAGATTGGAAAAAAACCACAATCCCAAAACCTTCACATATTACATCCAAAAAATTTCAGTTACATGCCTGGCTTTGTGCCGTGCCAGCTAAACTGACACAGAAGCGCATTCAAAAGCGCATTAAACACCCTTTTATCCCCCACTCTGAAAAGGCAGCCGGGGAAACGCATTCCTCTTTCTTCCGCAGAGCGCTGGGAATCGGTTTGATCAGGAAAACACAGCCCAATCCACAGAGGCCTTGCTCCCAAGTAAGCTGGCACTCACCTCTCTCTCATACCAGTTTGCTGCCTTGTGCACAGACACCGCTGAATCGACAGGGGTCAGCTCGTCGGTGTACGTCTTCACACGGATCCGACTGTTGAACCGCAGAGACAGGAGATTGTACACAATCTGCAGCAGAGTAAAAGCCAGCATTGGTCTCGTACGGCATTGCTGGATCTCTCTGCAGTACAGTACCGGCTAAACAAAGGCCCACAAAGGCTATTTCAAATATTCCTAATCAGCGGAAACCCATCCAGCACTTCAGAGCTGGGCACTAAAAGACATTATTGCAACTGAGGTTCTAGTACCTTATCACTTTAGTCCTTAGAAGCACAAGAAAAATTATGCAAGATTTAGAAAACATGACTCATGAAGAAGACCTGAATACAATCAACAGATCAAAACGAAACCCAGCATTTGAGAGTGAGTTTTCTTTTTCTTTTCACTGCCAGAAAGAAAAAAACATGGTCAGAGCTGCAGCAGAACCCACAGCCATCAACTCCCGTGAGACTCCCCAAGCGTTGCACCCGTGAGCAGCTCTTACCTCGAAGCGGTATTGCCGAGACGGGACATCAACAGCAGTCAGGTCAGCCAAGGATTTGAACTGTGCGTTAGTGTGATCTCGAAGGAAGGTCAGAACTGGAATGATCCCATCGGGATGGATCAACAGTTCCAGCTCATTGAAACAGGTCACCTGACAAAAACAGTGGAAGGGGCATGAGCACAAACACCAGCAGGACTGAATCCAGCAGAACGCCCACACGTAGAGACCATCTGGCGCAGCGGACACGTAGTGACATCAGCTAAAGGGGCTTAGGAAGAGGGTTAACTTGCACGTAACTGACAATCTTTCTTCCCCAGAATAACCTCTTGAAACAGTTCACAAACAAGCTGTGTGTCCACTGGGCCCCGTCCCCCCTACAGGAACAGTTTCTCGAGCAGCACCCACCTGCGCTTGCTGGATATACTTAGGCAGAATCTCAGCCACGTACTCCCCAAAGGCACATAGCTGCTTCTGTTCTACTTCATTTTTTGGTCTGACGGTAGCTGAAGAGAAAAATAAAGTTCCCAAGATTACAGCAGGGAATACAGAAAGCAAAGAAGCAACACACACCTGACTTAAAAATCCCCTGAACCAGTCTGGCTGTGTCTCAGCAGCAGCTTCACATTCGGGTAACCTGCGAAGTATCTTTACGGTAAAACCAAAGCTAAACACAACGTGTACGTACAGAGGGACGTACAGGGCACTGAAACAGAGACCAGACCACAGCAACTCACGTGGGATGGGCTACACAGAGCAGGGAACGAGGGACTTTGCTAAGGAAATTTGTGTCAGGTTTTTCTGCAGGAAAGACAGTTCAACAAAGAAGGTGGAATAAAGTGAGGCAGAGACGACAGAACAGCGTGAGCCCGGATACTTCTCGGGACGTGCGGCCCGCGTCAATAACGGATCCGTTCGTCTGGAGGGAACTGCCCCGGGGTGGCTCGCCGTGCCGGTCCCTGCGCCACCCCTCGGCACCGCAGCGCCCTGGGCCCCTTTCGGCCGCTGCTGGTGCCATCACAAACTGCCCTCGAGGTTCAGGCC